GAGAGAGAGAGAGAGAGAGAGAGAGAGGCTCTCTTAACCTAGCAGGCCAGTAAAATCAAAGTGTGATACCAAATACTTTGATAATGCAGTAAGCAACCATATACGAATAAGGAGTAAGTTTCCACATTAAAGTCAAAGCATCTGCAAGTCTGCCTTACTTCCACTGGATGCTGTTCTTGGATTTCTTCTCGATGAGTCCAATGCCTTCCAAAACATTGGTGATGTCATAGATGCGCCGTTTCTGCCTTACAGCCAAAGTATCTGCAGCCTAAATCACATCCACACAAACAGAGCAAACCAGATTATTGATTCTTCTCATTACCTGTAAATTGACTTAACTACACAACACACACGCAAGTGTTTTGCACAGTGCAAATGTTTCACATACCAAGCCATTAAAAGAACAGTTCAATAAAATACTCACTTTTTATGACTCTACTAATATACTATAAAATAATATTGGGCACAACGCGAGAGACAGACACCGTTGGTCACCATTCACTTGCACTTCATCTTTATTCCATGCAATGAAAGTGAAAGGTGACTGAGGCTGTCATTCAGACGAACATCTTTTGTGTTCCCACTGAAGAAATCAAGTCATATGGACTTGAAACAAAATGAGAGTGAGTAAATAATAACAGAATTTTCATTTTTCCGTGAACTGTCCCTTTATGACTTGCTGGCTTTATAAAATGGACAAAAACAGCCCAGAAAAGTTGGCAAGCAAGCAACTTGATGCAATCAAGTTCCAGTATCAGCTTCGCATTTCTAAACTACTACTTCAAACACACAACCCTAGATCACTCATATCACCAAAGTATACTTTTAACACATTTTAGAAGTGTAATATCGCGTTCAAACCCCAATAGATTCAAAGAAATGCATCCCCAGGTCGCGCAGGCCTAAACCATCCCAAACTCCAGAGCACGTGCTTGGTTTGAAGACTTTTGTTTGAGTTTTCAGTCCTCAGATGGGACTCGCAGTAAAAACCCTCTGGGACACAACAACAAACACCGGAGCTGTTTTGCTTTGCCGACTGGAGTGACATAACATTTGCAACCTGTTAGCTGGCTCGCCTGGTTTAGTTGAGGAACTAGTTTATGTGAGTCGAGCTCAGTAGAGAGAGGGGTTGTGCGTGCACACGACCCCCCTACCAGAGCAACTTTTCTGTGCTGTTATAGGACCTAAAGTGCATCTGTTTGCATGCAAACATTAAAAACGATGCATATTCAGCAGGCGCTGCGCGTCTCGATACTGAAAACATATAGCAGATGAAGATGATGATAGCGGTGGTGATGAAGATGTTGACTGAGCTCGTGTCGTGCTTACAGCTTTGAGATCCAGCACTCCGTCCTTCGCTTCCTGCAGCAGAGTCACAAATTTAGTCGTGAGCAGTCCCAGACTTTTCTCGTGGCGACTGGGGGTCTGCGGCTGCAGCGAATCTCCCATTGCTCCCAGTTCGTTGCTTCCGGTCTCTAAATCCATCAAGTTGCGTTTAAAGTATGCTTAAATTCCCACCGTTCTCTTTCCGGTTGGTTTATGTCTGTGTATTTAAGGCTTTCTGCTGTTATATCGCTGACAGCACCACTTCTGCCGCCCAAACGCTCGCTTCCCGTCAACGGCCGGTGATTCCTGAAGCATGGGCGGGGAAGTTCAGCTCGAAATGAGAACGTAAAGACCCACGTTCAGGGACCGGTCCGGTTCAGGACACAGGTTACCCGAACCCAGATGGCCTAACAGAACAGACGCTCTCCTGAACACCAGAGCTGAGTTGCTTGAATGACTGAAGCCGTTGAAGGCGCGGTGCATCATGGGATGACCTGATAAAAAATGGAAGCTCCTGCATTCTGTCGAGCGGTCTCTAGGGGGCGATAAAAACGGCGCGTTGAACTACAGCGGCCATGTGGGGGCCACCGATACCGTTTTTTCCTCTTTGTCATATGTTGAATTGAAAAACGAAGTTTTTTTCAGCTTTTGATGTATTTGAATCAGTTAACCCTTTCAAAGCAGTAAGGTACCCGTGGTTTTGCTTTCTTTGTATTATTTCACTTTTTCCTATCACAATTTTCAATGAATTTTCTGTTGTTGTATCATTAGGTAGCCTATTGGTTAACCTTTTTAAACTTCCTGACTTGACAGACAGACAGACAGACAGACAGACAGACAGACAGACGATAGATAGATAGATAGATAGATAGAATTATAATAGACAAATGATAAATTAGATAGATAGATAGATAGATAGATAGATATAATTATAATAGACAAATGATAAATTAGATAGATAGATAGATATGGTAGATTATGGTATGACTGGAACATAAACTCATTCACTTTTACACTGTGCTTTAAAAGAATCAAGCTCTGTCTTGGATTGGTCATTATTAATATATAAATTTTGAGTCTTCAGGCAACGTGCTCCCTGAGAATGTTAAGTGTTTGAAGTGGGAGGGCTCGTGTGTTACTATCTGAATTTATATATGAAAGTAGAGCAGTTTACAGCTAGACATCAGTCAGCATGCTGGGCTTTCTGATACTGGTGTGGATATGCATCTTCCTCCTGTTCCTTTTCATCCAGATCCCGAGGCCTAAGAACTTTCCTCCAGGACCTCGTCCTCTGCCATTATTCGTGAATTTGCTGGAGCTAAACATCAGCAATCCTTTGAAGGACTTTGAGAGGGTACAGTATCGCATTCTTTAAACACTTCATCGATCGCTACTTTTAAATCTTGAAGAAATACATTAAGAATATCCTTGCAACATTCCAAAAATGCTTATTGCATTGAAAAATATATGGTAATGTATTGAACTGCAAGCAGTCTAATGTCTTAATGATAAACCTTTTAGCTTGCAGATCGCTATGGGAAAGTTTACAGCCTGTACCTTGGATCAAAACCTTGGGTGGTTCTTAATGGTTTTGAGGTTTTGAAGGAAGCTCTTCTTACTAAGGCTGTGGACTTTGCAGGACGCCCACAGGACCTCATGGTCAACCATATTACAAAATGAAGCGGTAAATTTACTTGCAAATGAACCTTCACTCTTATACCTCTGTACAGACCTTACAGTTAATCAATATCCTTGTGAGCTTGTTGACTCTGTCTCTCTTCTATAGTCCAAAGAGCAATTTTCTACCTTGTCCGATATTACACTTAGTATAATTGAGGCCAATAAATGACATTTACATATTATTGCAGGTGTAATTTTGTCTGACTATGGCCCCAGTTGGAAAGAACACAGACGCTTTGCTCTGATGACCCTGAGGAACTTTGGCCTGGGGAGGCAGTCAATGGAGGAGAGAATTCTGGGAGAGGTTTCACACGTTATTGCCAAACTGGGAAAAAAGTTGGTAATAATGTGCTTATTTTTGTTACATATCTGTATCTTACAGGAACAGTTCACTCAAAAATTTACATTTTGACTTGACATTCAGATCAATGTACATTGTGTCTGTGCAGGAAGCTCCTTTGACCCTCAGACTATGTTCCACAATGCTGCGTCATATCATCTGCTTTTGTTTGGATCCCGTTATGATTATGACGATGAATTCCTCAAGCTTTTCATACACCTCTATACAGAGAATGCAAAGTTTGCCAATGGGCCATGGGCCCTGGTGAGACATTTTATCAGTTTGTCTTTTAAATGATTATATTAAAGCTATTAAAAAACATATTCAGAGAAGTGCAAAAGTCTGAAAGCACTTTAATTTTGTTTTTTATTTTTTATTGTTCAAATAAAAGGGTCAGGGTTATATGACATGCAGAGAAATGCGGTCATAACATGAAAATAATTATCTGTTTAAATGCTAATAATAAAATTTAATTAATTGGATTATTGTTAAATTGTTAAATGTAATCTTTAGCAAATTTAAAAACGAATATCCATTTTTCATATTGTACATTATAATGTTGCAATGCCTAAATTTAATTGTAGCATTTAAAATGATTGTTTTTAGTGTTTTATTTTAAATTTATTTAAACAAAACTGTATAGAATTTCTAATATTTATCGGTTATCGGCCATAACATAAAACAGTGCATCTCTAGCATTGTTTCTAGTATTCTCTAGTATTTTTTAACTGATTTAGAGAGTAGTACTTATTATCTCTAATCACTGGTTATTTTAACTTCACCAGAGAGGAAATGATGGTTCCTCATTTTCTGAAGCCCAGCTTATCCTGTACATTCTGGATTTGCACTTTGCAGGGACTGATACCACGTCCAACACCCTCCTCACGGCTTTTCTGTATCCCATGACCCACCCAGAGGTTCAAGGTCTGTGTTTTGGTTGATCAGAAAACTTCCATTAATATGATGAATGCCTTAAACTTAAACACAACTTTTTATTTCACCAGAGAGATGTCAAAAAGAGATTGATGAGGTTCTGGAGGGTAAAGATCACGCATCGTATGAAGACAGACACAATATGCCGTACACACTGGCTGTGATTCATGAGGTTCAGCGCGTGGCTAACACTGTACCGCTAAGTGTATTTCACTGCACCACCAAAGACACAGAGCTGATGGGCTACAGCATCCCAAAGGTGAGGAAACCTCCATATAAAGAGAGTTTTACGCTTTTAAAATCATAATGTTGTCACTTTTTCTTCTCTAGGGACCTTTGTTATTCCTAACCTCACTTCTGTACTAAAAGAAGAAGGCCAGTGGAAGTTTCCTCATGAATTCAACCCAGCCAACTTCCTGAATAAGCAAGGCCAGTTTGAGAAGCCTGAGGCCTTTATGCCTTTTTCTGCAGGTAATGGTTCAGAATCGGAAATATGTGTAGGTTTAGCTTGAGCGTATTTTGTAACTCATATATGCACATGCGTCTTGTACAGGTCGTCGTGTGTGTCTCGGTGAGGGTCTTGCGCGTATGGAGCTTTTCCTGATCATGGTCACTCTGCTGTGGCATTTCCAGTTTGTGTGACCCGATGATGCAGGGGAACCAGATTATACCCCAGTATATGGGGTCACCCTCACCCCCAAAACCTACAGAATGCACATCAGACGCATAGAGACAGTCAGATTCTGATGATTATGACAGATTTATGTTGAAATGATATTTGATGTATTTTAATAACAGTATTAATACATTGAAATTATTATTATGATTATTAAATTGAATTGAAAAGATAGTTCTTGAATAAAAACCTGTTACAAAATAGTTGTCTTCCTCTTCTTGTCTGAATGTATGCCAATGTGTTTTTGTGTGTTCATGTGCACGTGTTATTATCATAATCAAAAATTAAATGAAAAACTAGAACTAAAATAGATATAAGCCTTCAAATTTAAAAACCACCTTCGCTAATGTTTAAAAGTTTTTACAAGAAGTCACTTGCTTAACAGCGCTGCATTTATTTGATGAAAAATACAGTAAGAATGGTAATATTGTGAAATATTTTAACAATTTAAAATAACGTTTTAATATTTCACTATATTTTGAAATGTAATTTGTACCTATTTATTTCGGTCTTCATTGTCACGTGATCCTTCAGAAATCATTCTAAGATGCTGATTTGCTGCTCAAGAAACATTACTGATTATTAATGTCGATGTTTTGTGGAAACCATGATACACTTTTTTTCAAGATTTTTTTGATGAATATAGTTCAAAAGAACAACATATTTGTCTTCACTGTCACTTTTGAGCAATTTAATCCATCTTTGATGAATAAATGTATTCATTTCTTATTTAAAACTACAAAAATCTTACTGTCCCCAAACTTTTCAACAGCAGTGTACCTTCATTAAACATGAACATTCCACTAGACAGCACTAACTACAACACACTGAAAAAAAACAAAAAGTATAAAGTGAAAAAAAAAAAGTATTGTTAAATTCAAAACGGCATAACCTTGTTCAATCAGCAGGTATAAAAAACATATTTGCCCTTGTAATTAGGCCTTTGGCTCATACATCTAATAAACTGGATATATGATATATCTCCTGTATACTGAAGAGATATACATAGAGTTCAAACCTGTTTGATCCAGGTGAATACAGAAACGCAAAATGCTGAGCATTGTTTGTTTGCCTGGGTTCATTTTATCTTTCCTGGAACACGGCCATAATATTTGTTCAGATAGGCGATGTACTAAGAGACTGAGTGATTTGAGTTCATAAGCTTCTTTTGCTTGAGTCAATCTAAAGGGACAACAGCTGGACATCTAGTCAGCATGCTGGGCTTTCTGGTTCTCGTGTGGACATGCATCTTCTTCATCTTCCTCCTCGTCCGGATCCAGAGGCCAAATAATTTTCCTCCTGGACCTCCTGCTCTCCCTTTATTTGGGAATCTGCTTCACATGGATATGGCCAATCCTTTGAAGGATTTTGAAAAAGTATGGCTTTCTTTTTTTATCATCAGAAGCTTAAACATTTCAGTTGTTCTTGTTTGTAATGTAATTTTCCAATATTTTAAGTTTGCAGAACAGTATGGGAAAATTTTCAGCCTGTATACTGGATCAAAACCATACGTTTTTCTAAATAGTTTTGAAGTTATTAAGGAAGCTTTGGTTACAAAGGCTCAAGACTTTTCAGGACGTCCTCAAGAGTGCATGATCAATCATCTCACGGAGAATAAAGGTAACTCATACTACAAGCGGTCCTAGATATCAACTAAGTCATAAAATCAGTCTAATGAGTGTGATATTGCTTTTATACAACAGAAATAAAATGCAAATAAAAATAAATGCAATTTTTGTCAAATACACAAAAGTTTCAGAAATGTTTTCATGAGCAACAGAAACACTTTTTATATACTGTTTAATTCAGCACCATCTGTTCAAGAATAAAGTTCAACATAAACATATACTATTTAATTTCCAATAAAGTGGGGGTAAATACGCTTTTATCAGTGTTTTATGATAAACGTGACTCAATATAACTGTGCGGCTACAGTAAAAAAAAGCTTTTACTGTTCTAAAAACACAGATTTGTGAGCATTATTGGAATTGAGGATGTTAGAATAAACAAACACACCTGATTCAACTCGAGACCTAAAATGGTTATTTCACATCCAAAATCTGTAGCCTACTTTTGGGGGAACTCTAGGACCAGGGTTGGGAACCACTGCGCTAGATGATGCAATAACGAAAATGAAGTTGCCTGGGCCTTAACAATGTAACATATTTTTAACAAGTCACTGAAAATGAAGACAAGCAGAGTAATAAAACAGTAAAAAGCCACTGTGTTGTTGTACTTTCAATGTTCTTGGAATGCTGCTGCTCAATCAATCAAATTCGAGGATTGTAATTATGTTGTAGTATTTAATTCAGTAGAAGTATGGCTTATATCAGGAACAAAATAGAATCTCCACAACTAACATCTTAACTTTACTAAAGGTGTAATACTGGCCGATTATGGCCCCCATTGGAAGGATCATCGACGCTTTGCTCTGATGACCCTGAGGAATTTTGGCCTGGGGAAGCAGTCCATGGAGGAGCGAATTCTGGGAGAAATCTCACATTTAGTTGCTGACTTGGACAAAAATGCTGGTATTTATATGCAAAAAAAAAATTTTGTTGGCTGAGATCTCAGCTGACAAGGAACATGCCATAATGTTTTTAATGGATTTACTGTACATTTGTACAGGAGGAACTGTGAATCCTCAGAATATGTTCCACAATGTTGCATCAAACGTTATCGGCTTGGTTCTGTTCGGATCCCGTTTTGATTACAAGAATGAATTCCTTCAGCATTATGTCCAGTTCATTACAGAGATTTCAAAGATCCTCAATGGACCATGGAATGTGGTGAGAATTTAGATCAAAACACCATTTGACAATTACAGTCTTCTCTTTTTCTTTCCTTTTTCTTAATAGCCAGTTTTTCTATTTGCTATTGCTAATCAGAGGAATACAGTAGGCTATTAGGGGAGGGACAGTCTCATTCTAAAGAGCATCTGATTGGACAAAAATCTGTGTAGTGCAGGATGAGTCACCAATATGTTTGATCTGTTTTCCTGTTAAATTTAACCTGTATTTCTGCAACTTTTTAGTGGTGTTTCAAAGCTACATGGAATAAAAGCCACAAATTCCCATTTTGATTGCATGGGAACTTAAAAAAAAACATTAGCTTCAAAGTCAATAATAGCCAAAGGTGATTTAATAGAAAGCTCTATTAAATATTATTTAAAATAGATCATATTTATTATAATTTGATTTCACTGAAAACATTCCCAACTTTGTGGAGAAAACTTGCATTTTACAGTCACTGTATAAGATTATACAAAAATGTCAAACATGTCTTTTCCTAACAGATATACGACACACTTCCTTTACTAAGAATCTTGCCCCTGCCATTTAAAAAAGCATTTGATCATGTAAAGAAGTTAAAAAATATGAATTTAAGTCTGCTCAACGAACACAAGAGCACAAGAGTCCCAGGAGAGCCAAGAGACTTCATTGACTGCTATCTGGATGAGCTTGATAAGGTGCGTGTTTCTTCCAAAACACAGTGGGCTCCAAATGTCTAAAACCACATTGGAAATGCGAGGTTCAAAATCTGATTTGAACCTAAAAATACATCATGCTAATTGTTATGCTGATAATATAATTTATAATGTGAAACATGTGTGTATGTGTGTGTGTGTGTGGGGGGGGGGTTACAGCTTTACCACCGTTTGAGACTCAAATTAATAATATCCTGTGTTCTCCAGAGAAAAAATGATGGTTCCACTTTTGCTGAAGACCAGCTCATCATGTACATTTTGGATTTGCACTTTGCAGGGACTGACACCACGTCCAACACTCTCCTCACTGCTTTTCTCTACCTCATGAACCACCCAGAGGTTCAAGGTTTGTTTAAAAAGCACACATTGATTTTGGCTTAATTTAAACCAAGCAAAGCAGGAGGAGACAGACCACTCATAGAAAAACAGATGAAAGCAATTATAATGCTCAATGTGAAAAGACCTTAAAATACCTAAATGACTAGCGACACTTGAACAGAGATTACAAATACAGTTTTTTAAGTGTGATTTGAACTAAAGAAGCTAAATTTATGATACTGTTGTCATTTCTTATTGCTAATTTGATGTATATTAATATTTTAATTGAATGTTGCAAACTTTCATGAGTGTGTTAGCATATTAGCAAAGCTAACTCCTTTAAACTTAAACAAACATGGCCTTGTTATCTCACCAGCAAAATGTCAAAAAGAGATCGATGAGGTTCTGGAGGGTAAAGATCACGTATCGTATGAAGACAGACACAATATGCCGTACACACTGGCTGTGATTCATGAGGTTCAGCGCGTGGCTAACACTGTACCGCTAAGTGTGTTTCACTGCACCACCAAAGACACAGAGCTGATGGGCTACAGCATCCCGAAGGTGAGGAAACCTGCAGAAACCAATTTTTAGTACTTCAGAACAAATTTGAACTGTTTCTCCTTCTTTAGGGAACTGTGATCATTCCCAACCTCACTTCTGTACTAAAAGAAGAAGGCCAGTGGAAGTTTCCTCATGAATTCAATCCAGCCAACTTCCTGAATGAGCAAGGCCAGTTTGAGAAGCCTGAGGCCTTTATACCATTCTCTACAGGTAACCATTCTAAAATGTATGACATTTTTGTATTTCATCTTGTCAAACCTTTTCTGAGAGCATCATCATCTGTGTATTACAGGTCCTCGTGTGTGTCTCGGTGAGGGTCTTGCACGTATGGAGCTCTTCCTGGTCTTTGTCACTCTGCTGCGCCGTTTCCAGTTTGTGTGGCCCGATGATGCAGGGGAACCAGACTACACCCCAGTATATGGGATCACCATGACACCCAAACCCTACAGAATGCACATCAGACATAGAGAGACAGTTAAACAGTAAATCACAATGTCAAATACATCTCCTCTCTATATAGGATATAATTTGATAAACAGATTATCTTTGAATATCTAATTGTGTAGCATTATCAAATGTTTGTGATGAGTATCGGGCTGCGTTTGAAGTTGGCGGTAACTGAGCGCAACAGGTGGGTTCTGGAAGTAAAAATTCAATTCATTTTCT